AATCGTTACTTTAATAAGACTTTAATATGATGAGACGATCTTCAAAATCAACCAATCATAATAAAGCCCGCTATGCTATCTTCCGTTTGTTTATTTCGCAAATAATCACGTAGATTGCCATTATTGGCAAGTTGTAACACCAGCATAAAATTTCCTGTTGGTTCTAATGTTTATTGTATTATCGTTTATATTATTGTTTAAAGATTATTATACAGATATATACTTATTTTTAAATTAAATAATAGTTATACCTCTTGAAACTCCATAAAATTTTACAATATTAGGATGATAATCGATGGTATAAAGAAGTGTAAGCTACATATGATTGATTTAGTATTTTTGGATATTAAGATTCTAAGCACAAATAATGAAGAATATTGCCGTACCTCGCGGCTGAATTGTTTGAATTCTTGATCATTTAAACCCAAGTTATTATTTAAACTTTTTAATGCGCGCTCTTCTCCTTCCAAAATGGCTGAATATACAATAGCAAATCCGCCTTTTCCAATATATTTACGATTCTTGTGTTGCGAATAGTCAAAAATTTTTATACCGTTGGTTTTAAAATATGACAATAATTGTTCCGAGTACTGCATTACTAATATCACATAAATGTTTCAGCCATTAATATATTGCGTAATTTAATAGTAAAAACTTTAACAATGTAATAGCTCACATGTTTTCTCTGATATGTCTTCCATGTTTTCAATTAATGACTTATGTATATAAAATTTTAAAGAAAACAATCATGAGATGTGTACTTTGGAGGTTTCAAAGTTAACATATTTCGAAAATAATAAGTGGATGTTAAATATCCTATTTTCTGTTTTAAAAAATTTCAAATCAGAAAATTAAATCGGCATACTCGGTCATAAAATTAGCTTTTTTTAGATAAACACGCCACTTGTTTTGATCTAAAATTAGTTATCTGATCAGAACCCTATTGTATTAATATATATGGGTAATTATTTTTGAGATTGTGATCATCTGATTTGTGAGTTGACCGTATACGTATCCTATCTTATTATATATATATACATATATTTTAATCTTATAAAATAATGCCCGTATGCAATTGTCCTCTTTATCCAATTTAAGCCAATATTGCATATATGTGCATAAAATATGAATCCGTCCGTATAAATTGCATTTCTAATAGGAATATGGCCAAAAAGCAATATGCAATTCACATAATTTGAGAATGCACGCTTTGTTTTCACATGAACGAATAATTGATAAAAATGTATAGGGTACTCGTGATGGGCGATAATTTTATTATAAGAAATTTTATATACGATAATTTAAAAGCATAAAATTTTTTTTAATTATGGGCAAAATATAATCTTCATGAGATCTAATTGGACAAATCTAATAATTAGTGATAGTGTGCGAAAAAGTTGTAATACTTGCATATAATATCATCTTTGTTATAGCATGCGTAAAAATCTGTAATCCCGCATATAAAGCTAACTAAAAAGAAATGGTAATTTTGGTCTACGTATACCATACCGATCCACTGTAATTTCACCCGAGTTGACAAAAATCAATAGATTAAAAAAGAGTTAAGCAGAGGTAATGGCTCTATGAAAATAGCAACTGGAACAGGATCAATCCCGCATAATCAAGATTACTGGATGAGTATGATTATAAATGACCTTTCCGCATAAAGTAATTCTATCTTAATAAAGGGTATGTGAGAAAAGGCTGATTCAGAGGAAAGTGCAGTTTTAATTCCACACCAGCCATCGCCAATTCAGCCCTAGCTAATCTCAATTAATTCGCGATCCAGCCCTCTTTCCCAAAGGAATCTTCATATTATAGCTACTGGGCATAAATATCACATGATTATCTTAATAGCCGGCCTGCGTTATGCGGGTGAGAAATAAGCTTAACTCGTATGGTGATCCCCGGCTCAATATTGTATCTCGTTTCAAACTGCATTTATATCAAATGCGTACGTATGAAAATTCAACTTATATCAGACCGGATTATGCTGATATTAACTTAATCTTCATATGATATTGATATCATTTGACAACATGCACTCATTAACTCGAAAACTATTTCCCCAACATGCCATTTACTTGACATCACGAAAGGTGAAAATTTAGCATTTTATTTTTTGTGGGTACATATTATTAGTAAATAGTCACCCAGCGTGATGTCCAATAAATGACATGTTGGGGAATAGTTTGCGAGGAAATGAGACATGACCCATTTGGATATATATCTTATAAAATTTGACCAAATTGACAATAAGGGCGCTGGTGGCGTCCCATCTCCACTTGTATATATATATATATGGTGTACGTAATAACATTTTGGTCTGGATTCAAAAAAATAAATACCCATATGAGTGTTGTCAAAAGAAAACCTACAACTCTAAAAATAGATTAGTATGATTTTCATAATAATCTATTTTTAGAGTTGTAGGTTTCTTTTGACAACACTCATATATTACCGTAAAACTCGGAAAATAAGCACCTCATCCTCTACCCTACTTTTTTCAACCTCAGATTAGCGTTCATTTGCTAGCCTAAGAGTGATTATTGAAAGAGATTGCCAAAAGCCAAAATTCGGATTTTGATTTGTTAGAAATTGTTAAAAATACGTATGTTTTGATTGATAATTTAACCCCTTTCAAAGTTTTTCGGTGATCTGCCTCTGATCATTTCTTTTTTAAATTGTGTTTGGACATGTGGCC